GGAAGCTTCAGAAGCCAGGCAGTTCGTGATTATTGCGACAGGAATCAAGTGTTCCTGGATTTGGTTCCGGGTGAGGCTCATTGGAAAGTTGGGGTTTGTGAACAAGCGGTTCAGGGATTAAAGACTGTTATGGAGAAGCTTTGTCAAGCAGAAAACACTCTGTCAGCAGAAGAGGCCTTGGCGACAGCCGTACGGATCTTCAATCAACGAGATGTTGTCCGAGGGTACTCCCCGGCACAACACGTCCTAGGACAGGCTCCTGATGAGACCGGTAGGATAGATGTTTCGCGTCCTCAAGTCCCACCAGAGATGTTGGTAGAAAACCCCAGTACTGAATTCCGAGATGCCGTTCAGCGAAGGGCCGAAGCAGAGAAGGCCCACGCGGAGTGGGTTGCCAAGCAGCGCTTGGTAAGGGCTGCCAACTCGAGGAGCCGAAGAGTCTTCGACTATCAGCCAGGAGAGCTGGTCTTCTTCTGGAGACAGCAGGACTCTTCGAAGAACAGGCAGGGCCCTAACTCCAAGCGGGGACAGTTCATGGGTCCGGCAAGAGTTCTTGCCACAGAGACGCGACGAAACGCGGACGGGACCTTGCAGCCAGGGTCCTCTGTGTGGTGTGTGAGGGGTAGGCAACTTGTGAAGTGTTGTGTTGAGCAACTTAGGAGGGCTTCACCCCGCGAGGAACTCGTGGAAACACTCGTCCAAGAAGACCCTACCCCCTGGACCTTTACCCGGGTTGCGGAACAGATAGGCGGAAATCAGTTTGAGGATGTGTCAGCAGATAGTCCCCATCTTGAAGAATGGCTCAGGGCCCAGAACCCGGAGGAAGAGCGGCAACCAGTTAGACGTCGTATCCGAGACAAACGTCCCAGCCCTGCTCCCCTGGAGTATGATTCTGAGGAAGAAATGATTCCTGCCGAGGAACATGGAGGAGCCTACCAGCCACAGCCCAGGACCTTCCGTCGATCTCGACGCACCGGGCCGTATGGCATGCAGGCTGAAACCAAGGGCGAGAGTTGGCAGGACAAGGTGCCAGAGGAAGCTTGGTTTGTTGGGGATCAGGCTTACTGGAGTGACTCTCAGGCCAGTGTTCAGGTTGAGGTGGAAATGCCTGATACGAAGAAAGGTTGGGAACAGGCGGTTCAGAACTTTGAGGGCTACCTGGTGAGTGCCTTGAGGCGTCGAGCAGTTGAAGTGAGAGAGAAGACCTTGTCGGAGGAAGAGCGAGCGCAGTTTCAGGGTGCGAAGGCAACTGAAGTTAAGAACTTCCTTGCTGCTAAGGCTTTTGAACTTTTGCCACCACATGTCAAACCCAACCGGGAGCAAGCAATAGGGATGAGATGGATCCTCACGTGGAAACAGAAAGAAGACGGCTCCATGCGAGCAAAAGCCCGCGCAGTGCTGCTGGGGTATCAAGACCCGTCGTATGAATTCCGGGACACCACGGCTCCAGTGATGTCCCGCCAGAGCCGACAACTTCTTTTGCAGCAAGCAGCACGACGACAGTGGACAGTCTTCAAAGGAGATGTGTCGGGGGCGTTCCTCCAAGGGAGGGACTACCCCAGCATCTTACATTGCATTCCTTGTGATGAGATTTGTGATGCGATGAATGTGCCAAGATCCAGCATCATGAGGCTAAAACGAGCCTGTTACGGCCTCGTGGACGCTCCCCTGGAGTGGTACCGCTCGGTGGCTCAGGTGCTCGAGGACCTAGGCCTGGAGAGGACCTGGAGTGACCCATGTACATGGGTCTGGCGTGTCCAAGGACGCCTCAGGGGCATCATCTCAGGGCACGTGGACGACTTCTTGTTTGGGGGTTCGGATCAAGATCAAGGTCGGCAGGACATTCTGGCTAAGATCAAACAAAGGTTCCAGTGGGGTGATTGGGAGAAGGACACCGAGGGTTTCGTGCAATGCGGGGTCAAGGTGGTGAAAACTTCAGAAGGTTACCTGCTTAGCCAACCCCAGTTTATCGAGGCCCTACGAGAGATACCTGTGAGTGCGACGAGAAGGAAGGCAAGGCACGAGCCTACGTGCGAGCGAGAGAGGACCCAACTGAGGGCCCTTTTGGGCAGTTTGAGTTGGCTGGCGCAACAGACGGCGCCGCACCTCTCGGCATCCGTCAGCTTGTTACTTTCAGAGGTTTCCCGAAGCACTGTGGATACGATCATCCGTGTTAACCAGTTGACCAACCAGGTTAAGAAACGGAAAGAGCACTGTATGATCATTCATTGTTTTGCGGAACAGGAACCTTTAGCCATGTATGCATGGGTAGATGCAGCCTCCGCCAACAGGCCTGATGGGGGAAGCACTCAGGGCATTTTCATTGGCATAGGTCCCCAGGACATGATGCAGGGTTCAGTTGGACGTGTGACTCCAGTCGCTTGGCACTCGTCCAAGGTGGACAGGGTGTGCAGGTCCCCAGGGGCTGCTGAGGCTCAAGCTGCTTGCAATGGCGAAGACAGCTTATACTACGCCAGATACCATTGGAGCGAGCTGGAATATGGTGGCCTCAATCCTCGGGATGCAGAAGGAGCGGTTCTGCGAACCAAGGGATGCTTGATCACGGACTCGAGGAATGTCTACGACAAGTTGAACACAGAGGTGTTGGTGGTGAAGGGCGCAGAGAAGAGGACAGATTTGGAATTATTGGGGCTTAAGGAAGCCCAGTATAATACTGAACTGTCCATCCGCTGGGTGCACTCTGAGGCTCAATTATCCAACAGCCTCACAAAGCATGGTGGAGGACGCGAGATCGAATTATACTACCAGATGCGGCATAGGTGGAGGATAGTAGAAGATGAACAGATGCGATCCGCCAGACGGCGGAAACAAGACGGTGTGGCTCCATTGGCAACCGACGACAAAGATGAACGAAATTGATAAGTGTGTCAATTTGGAAGGGGAATTTCCGGGGCATGCAAGCCCAGAGAACTTGTGTGATTCAACTCAGACGTGCGTTTCATCACAATGCGAGTTTGGGCACAAAAGAGACTGTGAGCTTGTAGCAGCTACCTTTAGTTGTGACGCAATTGCCTCATCGTGTGTGGTGGCTTAGACTGCGAGCTTCTCTTGTCCAATAACGTGAGCATTTGTGCTACGCCGGCCGTGGACTTGCAGGGAATGTGGGAAAAAAATGCGTCGCACGTTCAGCTCCTAGCAAACCCTGAACTTCCTGAACCCCTTCTGTCCTTGATCGTTTCCATCGTCTCAGACACACTACGAGTACCATGTCGAGGTATCCCGGAGCTCGCGGGTGCCTTCGGAGGAGGTGTCTGTGAGCTGGCGACGCAGGAGACCGACGGCCTGGGCGCTCAGTCTTCTAGAAACTCTGGTCAAACTGCTTTTTCATTGTAAGAGTCCTTGGAGGACTCGCAAATCGGAGCCTTTGCTATGAGCAAAAGTCGGAGGGAGGCTCTGACTCTGAGCCACGGCACCGCTGGCACGTGGGCGGGCTCCCGGAGCTCTTGGAGGCCATGGGCGTGCGTGCACCGAGCGCCTCAGAAAAAGCTCACAGCTCCTATGCGAGCTCTCTCTGAAGGACCTTTTCCGGCGCGCTTTTGCCTTAAAGCCCAGGGCACCATACTTGCAGGTGCCGTTGGAGGCGAAGTCCCAGCAGAGCTTCATGCCTAAGGCGACAGAAATCGGAGAAAGACCCTCTTGAACACCTGGGCCTGGGCTGCTTCGGAGCTGCGGCGGAAGTCCGGCTTCTCCCTGAGCTGCTGCTTGGTGTGGGCGAATGAGCACTTGTTGCCACGGCTGCACTTGCCCTCCAGGAAGAACCTGCACATCGCCTCAGAGATGGGACTCCCATGCCCTGCGAGTGCGGTGCCTGATTTGGGCTCGCCACCGTGTTCTTCAACTCGTGTTGTCGCTGGGCCTTCGTTTCCTGGCACCGGCACAAAAGCGCCCCTTTTTGGTCTGGAGGCCTGAAAGTCACCGCCTGTGCCCGAGGATACATGTCCAGGCGAGGCATGCACCTCAGCCGCTGGTCTAAGGCATCAGAGGTTGAAACAGAAAAGCATCTGCGGACCAGGAGCATGCTCTCAAAGGCAGCGGATGGCATGCTTCCTAAAACCGACAGCTGGGGTAAGCGTTTGAGACACCAGCGCTTGGGCCAGCCTGCGGAGGTTAAAAGGGAAGTGAAGCGTTCCCACGGTTTTCTGCACTTCTAGGGCTACCACACTCTACGCAATAGCCTGCAGCTCTCTATGCGTCCTGCAGCCTACACAGTAATACAGCCCTCGGGGGCCCCTGCTTTTTTCCGTTGGCTGAGCTGCTTTTCGCCTACGAGAGGCTTTTCCGACGCTTCGAGGGAACGCTTCGCGGTCTTCAAAAGCCACGGCCTGTGCGCTTGCCACTACTGCGGCCGAACCACGAAGCCCTGCCCATCATCATGGACAGGTCGCAATAGCTCACCAAACTCGCCGTGAGCCAGCAACATCCAGCCCTCGTCCATACCCTCACTGGTCTTGAAGACTGTCCGACCCCAGAAGCCCGTCTCATCAAACTCCAGGATCTGCAGGCGCTGGCCTTTGATGCGCTTGCTGACGCGAGCCGCTTTTGCATCCGGCTCACGTCGAATCCACACGGAGTCGTAGACCACCTCGTAGAGCTCTCCCGGAGCGGCTCCCGGAGCGGCTCCCCGAACGCTCTCGGCCTCTCTGCCTTCCCCGAGCCTCTCGGCGTCCGGGCCCAAGCTCGGAGAGTGCCCAGTCTGCTTCAAAGCCCCCTGGATCCAGAGCTTCAGCTCCTCCTCGGATTTCTGCTGGAGCTCCTCCGCGAACAACAGTGTACGTGGGAAAATATCAGACGGTGGCCGCAGGCTTCTAGACTCTTTGAGTCATCTCGTGGCTCGGACATATACATATAAACGACAACCAGATCTAAACTGACATGTATACATAACTATATACATACATATACACACGACCACGCACACCTCCACCCCCCGAAAGCCCGAGCCACCCCCCTTAAACCCTAAACCCTAAACCCCCAAACCCCTGAACCCTAAACCCCTACACACCCTACACCCCTACACACCCTACACCCCTAAACCCCTTAAACCCTCAACCCCTAAACCCCTAAACCCCTTAAACCCTAAACCCCTTAAACCCTAAAGCCTCCCTTGGGTCCTCGAGCTCCTCCGGGCCGCAGCGCCTGAGCACCGCGAGCTCGGGGCTGCTGCCCTCCCGGGCGCCGGCGCGGAGCAGCCGCAGGCAGCACCTCAAAAAAATGGGGATTTTATAGGGTTTGGGGTTTATAGGGTTTACGTAGGGTTTAGGGTTTAATAGGGGTTTAGGGCTTAGAGCATAGGATTTAGGGAGTTTAGGGCTTGTAGGGTTTATAGGGCTCAGTCAGCACCTCCATGGGTTCTAAGTGTTAGGCTTAAGGTGTGGGGCTTTGCGGTTTGCCAGGGTTTGTCGGGGTCCAGAGTCGAGTGGAGTTGAAGGGGTTGTTAAGGAGATGGAGCTCGTAGAGTAGTGGGGATCTGCGCAGGGGCTTCGCCCAAACCACCGCAGCACACACACCAAAGCCGGAAGTCTTGGTTTTCAGGGCCTCACCTCAGCTGGCCCTTCGCTAATGCCAGCACCACGGCCGGGCCCCGTGGATCTTGGAAGTCGATCTCCTGCTCCTAGGTGCACGATCAAGAGAGAACAGTGGAGACTTTTCCCTCACACCTTGCCACGCTGTGTTTCTTTTGACTTTTTTGGGGTGTTCCCGTCTCCCGTCCTTGCCTTGGCGGCGAGGAAGCGCTCCAAGTCCTCGTAGCGGCCCTCCTGGGCCGCCACGGCCAGGACGTTCAAGGGCCGGATGCAGAGGGGCTCCCCTTTGGGCCGCAGCAGGGGCCCGAACTCCGGGTGGTCCAACAGCACGAAGCCACTTCGGGCCAGGCGATGGTCCACGCACTCCCGCCACAAGCCAGACTCATCCCAACCGAAGAGTTCCACCTCTTCGCCCTTCCGAAGCTGACCTAAGGCTTTGGCGCCGAAAGATGGGCCACTTCGGAAGGCCACCCTCTCCGACATCACCTCGTAGAAGGCACCTGGCCCACTGAAGACGAGGCCCAAGCTCTCGTCCTCCTGTTCCTTCTTCGCCTTTCTCATCTCCCTTGTCTTCGCCGGCTCCTCTCGCTCGATCTCGTGAAGCACCCGGATCCCGCTTTGGGTGAAGACTGGCAGATAGTAGCCGTCCTCTGAACAAACCCGGGGGCAAACCCGAGGAAACAAGAACAACGACTGCCTTTGCCGGCTCACTACCTACATTCAAACGCCCCTTCTTCCCTTTCCCTTCGCCGGGGTCCTCAAGCTTCAAGAACGTGCCATCGGCTTCCAGCGTGCCACAAACCAAAGAGTCCCACGGGACTGGCTTCAATCTGGTCACCTTCGCAGCATCGCTGAAGGAAGGAGATCGGCGGTAGCGCAAGCCCGAGGAGGACGAGCACAAGTCCTCAACGCAACAACGCAACAACGCAACAGGACCCCACCATACCTGGCGCCTGGGCTCTGCAGCAGCAGAAACAGAAGCGCACCCTTTGCCTGAAAAAAAAAGCAGCCCCATAGTCTTCTGTCCAGCGCCGAGCGTCGCTGTTCGCGACCACGTAGCACTTGGGCAAAGCAGCCATGAGCCGCTCCTTGGCCCAGTCGCTGAAGCCCATGGCTGTGGCCCGGCTGTGGCTGTGGCCCTGCAGGCCCCCCTTAGGGCCCTAGGGAGTGGGGGGGGGTGGGGGGGGGGGGCCCTATAGAGTTCTTTGCACCCTTAAAAGGCCGGCGGGGGCACTCGAAACAAGGCATCGCTCAAACATCAAAATGCACTGTTCGGGTGTTGCCCGAACAATCTTGTCGACCAGAAACTCGGGCTTCAAAACCTTTCGCAATCCCGCAGAGCAAGCACGACTTGCTCAATCATAGATGCCAGCCTTTTCCACCACCGCAGTGCGAAAAAAGCGTCGTCACGGCAGTTCCGGAGTCGGTCGCCTTGGCCACTGTGCCGAATGACGACGACTTTTGGTGATGGCGGAGGAGAAGGAGGAGGACTTGAGACAGGAAGGGGAGGCGGTGAACAAGAGGAGGTGAACAAGAGGCTGCTATGGTGACTTGTTCCTTGATGCTGCTGTTGTTTTTCCATGTTGTCAATGTCGCATAATGTCGCTGTTGCTGTCGCTGTTGGAAGCAGTATAGACTAACGGTAACAGAAACCGCATAGTCAGCACAGTCGTTGCGGCACGGTGGCATAAGTATGGTACGGATAACCGCAGCAATCCGAAGCTCTTCGAACAATAAGCCCAACATGCCGGACCATTCGAAGCTCAGTGCCCGGCTCGAAACTGGCTGCATGTCCTGAAAAAGTTAGTGTAACTGCCTCAGAACCCAAAAGCCCAAGCCCAAACCCGAAAACACGGAGACGCTTGGGCTTCGGGCTTTGGGGGAACGCACAACAAGCCAAGGCAAGGCCATTGGATATGTTGTGCGGGAGGGGGCAGTGCGGCTCAAAAATTGCGTGATTCTTGATTCGTCATACCCGCTCGCAGGACCGTGAACACCAAAAACCCCCTGTCTTCTGCAGCTTGATTCCAAACACTCCGATGCCCTTTCGTTTGAGTGGAAGGAAGCTCCTCAGACTTGAAGGTCTAGCGTTCTGACAAGCACGGCAAATACGAGTTACATCACCATCACCATCGGGACAACAGCCACAAGCCCTCTAGAATCCTCCGAAGACCTCAACTGCAACGGCAACGGCAGCGACACCAGAGGATTCAGTGGAGGCCTCGGCGGTCAAGGGCGACGTGTGCCATGGCTGGGCGGCGGCTCAGTTCAGTCTGACTTCGCCTTCAAGGCCCTATTGGTAGGCTTTAAAGTCTTAAAGCCGGTGCCACACTGAAGTCTCGTGCTGAGCCGAGGCTCCAAGTCTGAGCCGAGCAGCGTAGCCGAAAGCGTAGCCGACTTCTCAGGTCTTGGGAGTCTTGGGGCTACAGATGAGAATGCATGGGGCCATGGCCGTGCAGCCATGCTGCTTCGGCTGCACGAGACTCGGGGCTCTTCACTTGCTTGAAGATGCGCGAATTGCCACAGACAAGAGGCCGCAGATGCAGCTGCATGCTGGTTGTGCTGGCATCTGCACGATATGCAATGGGACAGAGGAGCTTTCTGGGCACTGGAACGGTCTCATGGTCTGCTGCTGCGCCTGATCGCCTGACAGCCAGACGCTGAAGAACCACAGCTCAACTGCCACCGTGCTTATCCCTCTGTCCCTGCTCTTGCCGCAAGAGTCCTCAGAAACCTACAGTATAGACTTAAACCCTACAAAAAGCCCAAAAAGGCACTGAAAAGAAAGAGAGCCCCTCTCCAGCCCGCTCCTTCCGAAGGACCCCGCTTCTAACAACCCCCGCTTCCCATAAGCCGTCCCCTGTGCCTCAGGTCTCAGCGTTGGAGAGCTTCTCCAGGCTCTTTGCGGACACATTCCGATCCCGAGGGCTCCTCGAAAAAAGACCGGACCGCGCTGTCAAGCGCTGCAGGCTTTCGCTTTCTAGGCTTTCGAGAGTTCCTCCCGAGCAAGTCTAAAGGAGTTCTGTAGGGGGGAGGGGGGGGGGGGGGAATTACTTCATCTTCGGGCCTTTGGGGCAGAGGGTTCCCACGTCGTCTGATCATCTGATCAGGCTGCGCACAGATTTTACACAGGTTGATCTTCATCAAGGCATGCGTCGGCACAGCCAGCAGGGACATTCGAGCATTCATGCGAAGGATGAGTCTAGACCCATATTTCATTGCTGGCTCTGCCGATTTGCCTTGTTGCGCGTCCAGTCAAACTTGTGCCGACACAGCCAGGTGAATCTAA